TGGATACCTTCAATATTGGCAATAGTATTTCTCATATCAACTTCACTCGAACTTCTATCTTTTGGTCCCTCCAAGCATATTAATGACGATGACTTTACCCCAACTGTTCACCTTTCTATGGTCCTTTCAAACTTTACCGAACTCACTGTTCTAGGCTTGTTCACCTTTTACTCAAGTACCTTCACTCGAAGTTCTATCTTTTGGTCCCTCCAAGCATATTAGTGACCATGACTCTACCCCAATTGTTCACCTTTCTATGGTCCTTTCAAGCTTTACCGAACTCCCTGTTCTAGGCTTGTTCACCTTTTACTCAAGTACCTTCACTCGAATTTCTATCTTCTGGTTCCTCCTATTGGGGCTAACAATACAGCCTAGAGGGGGATGAATAGGTTGTTTGAAAACTATGAAAAATATTTACGGAATATAACAAATTTAACTTCAAACATTAGCAGAAACTGTTTGTAGAAATCAGATAAGTGCTGTTGTTTGACAAATCTCGATGCTAAAGATCATGTAATGCTAATACTGAAGAAATAAAAGATTTGCAAGCAGATATATAGTGGTTCGGCTTTATCCCAAAGTTTACATCCACTCTCCATACTAACAGCCGCAATACGGGCTGGATTGCACGTAATTTGTTCAATAAGTTACAATTGACAAGTGTTGATCCTTTACAAATGATATATTACACTATCAACACTTAGCTACTGCACTTACTCTTATACACTTGATCTTTCACATGATTATTATATGGCAAGATTATCACAGTGAAGATCTTTCGAGATAACGAAACAATATCAATAAGGAAAGCAGCTCAGAGCAAATATTCGGATTCTGCATTATGCTCTCTAACATTTTGGCCTAGAGGGTCGTCTCTTAAATAGACATCTTCAATCTTCCGTTGGAGGTGTTTGAGAAGATCAATTAGCCGTTAGAGATCCGTTGGTGCTGCTGTCCAGAGATGGAGCTGCCCATACAGCCCTTTATCCTGAACATTTGCAAGCTACCTGGAAATAGGTCTTGCAACTATTGTTCCCTAAGCTGACTGCTTTGACAATTCTAACAGACGCCTACTCCTGTTCCTCGATAGACTTCCTGATCTTCCCGTTGCACATATCCATCCTTCAACGGCTATAATCTCGAACATCCTCACATGCTCATTATTCAAACATCACCAATGTTATGATGTCTTAGCATTGATACAAACATCATCAATCAGCTGATCTTTAGGTCCATTGGTGCTGTTTACAAAAAAAGGTACCATGACATCTTGCCATCTTCTCCCAATGGATCATACCATGGATATCATGTAGTCCTTAAAGATCATTATAGTCTTCACCTGACAGCTGCTCTCACCCGATATCGATGTAGTCCCTAAAGATCATTACAGTCATCACATGCTTATGCTCTCACTTGATATCATGTAGTTCTAAGCTGACTGCTTTGACAATTCTGACAGACGCCTACTCCTGTTCCCCGATAGACTTCCTGATCTTCCCGTTGCACATATTCATCCTTCAACGGCTATAATCTCGAACTTCCTCACATGCTCATTATTCAAATATCACAAATGTTATGATGTCTCAGCATTGATACAAACATCATCAATCAGCTGATCTTTAGGTCCATTGATGCTGTTTACAAAAAAAATGTACCATGACATCTTGCCATCTTCTCCCAATGGATTACACCATGAATATCATGTAGTCCTTAAAAATCATTGCAGTCTTCACCTGACAGCTGTTCTCACCCGATATCGATGCCGATCTTTCTGGTCCATTCAAGCATATCGGCAATTTCGACTTTACCAAGTTGTTCATCTTCATGGTCTTTCATAGTTTTACCAAACATTCCTGTTCTAGGTTTGTTCACCATCATCAGGTCCATTGTTCACCCGATTTTTGTACCTCTAAGCCATCACGAATATCCTCGTTCTTATCAGCTTATTCACTCTCGATCAAGGTCTTTCCAGATGTTCACCATATCTGAAAATCCTTCCAGCTTGTAGACATATTCAATTACTCGATATCTTGTTCACCTTAGATATTAGTAGAGCATCTTGACAGTGACATAACACTCCTCATATCAAAATGTCTGGTGCTATTTATGACAAACATCTGCATCTCGGCTTGTGCATATATCACCTGGTACTACTCAACGAATACACATGTTAGTAGCTTTTGATTGTCTCTGTCATCATCTAAACAACACAAGGGATTTTCCCAATAATCATCACATTAGTGATTTTCCCAATACCTCCAAGCATATTAGTGACCATGACTCTACCCCAACCGTTCACCTTTCTATGGTCCTTTCAAGCTTTACCGAACTCCCTGTTCTAGGCTTGTTCACCTTTTACTCAAGTACCTTAACCTTGTTACCTCTGTGCCCAATGTCTTGATGTCTTGTTGACCATTGATAGAGCACTGCTCCTCTTTAGACAATGATGTTAGAACACTATCCACATATTGACTAATGCATCTCTCGACTGATTTACTCAACCATTAAGCACATTAATTTTCTTCTTTTCTATTTAGTTTTCATTTTATGCTGTTAGCGAGATATGGGTTTACATTTGTTTGGTTAACCACAAATTTATTAGCCGAAAAAAAGGCCAATAAGTCAATTTTTCAATGAAAAGAATGTGATGAATAGTAGTACATAAAATTGCATTTTCTGTTTTGCACTGAAAAAACAATCAAGTGAATTTTTTATGCTTCTTCTATAATTATCATAAGATAATATTCTCATTTGTGGTCTTACAACTATAATTTTGTAAATTTCATACCATCATGAAGTACATAATTGAATCACAATAATTTCAACGTAAATATCGATTAATCTTTACAATTAAAGATATATATTGCTTTATATTAATTTGCACATATAACTTAAAATAGTGAGCAATACACATTAATCTATACCCGTGCAAAGTGCAGGTTGATAGTCTAGTTTTTGTTAGACCCTCGAATGCCACTTAATTTTAAGAGAAAATTAAGCCCACTAGTACGTAAAATTATTAATTCATGCATAAAATTGTATAATGGAGATGAGAATGCTTTGTTTATTGTGTGGGTATACGACAAAAAAAGGATTAAAAATTAATTTATCCGAGAAAAATGTAGATGTTATTCAGTTTGGAAACAAAATGAAAGAAGCTCATTTAACATGGTTTAAACATTGCTGAAAATGTGAGCCTTCGAATGCTTTGGTGAGGAGATTTGAACAGGGGATGAAGCCTAAAAGGAAATTGAAGATAAAGGGCTGAGTCTACCCTCCTCGGATTTTGTGTACATGAAAGCCTTTAGATTCAAGTTTGTCAACATCGACTATTGAATAGTGTGTGATCTAGTTTACAATTAAGCTGCCGACGGTCTCGTTATCCATTAAATTCAAGCTTGTCAACATCGACTGTTGGATAGTGTGTCTTGTTAGCTGTCCTATAAAAAACCTGTCAACATTCACCGTCGGATTTGAGCACAACAAATTCACCATGATTTTGCTCACCGCAACGTAGACTCAATTAAGAAAAAAAATAAAGAAAGACATTAGTTATTTAAAGTTTATAGAGGATCTAATAATAATAATAATGGCGGTGGGTTGCTGGGTTAATCTCTCTCGAGGTATAGGCGCTCCGATTACCTGTGCGAGCTCGTCTCCAGGGAATGGTGGCGGATCCTCGGTTACCAAAAAAAAATAATAAAATAATAATAGAGGGACAAAATAAGAATTTGGGAAGGAATCTAACAAATAATCCCTCTCACAAATGGTGTTAAAAGATTGGGGATAGAATTGATACCAATTTGAAAATCGGGTTTTTTGTTAATTTGGCCATAATTAAACAATCATTATAGCAAGCCACTTATAAGAGGTTCCCTAAGAATGGGGAAATAACGACATGGTCAGTCGAAAAATTAAATTCTTAGAATATTGTTGGTTTCACGTAAGACTCACATAATCAATAGCTGAGTTTACTTAATCTATCACGCAGGTATTTGTTTCATCTTGGTTCTTTTCTTAGTTGATATATATGCCTAGATCGTGGTGATAAAATCCGGTATTATCAAATCTAGCTAGGGCAAGTATATAATGGCCTAAAATATTTATGTTCTTTGGAACTCTAAATAACATATGATGCTTTGTTACCTTAAAATGAGCTCATATTACATTTTTACTACCTTGCCATTGTGCCCGAGAAAGTAATGTTATTCATTCTAAGCTTGATTTACAAATTAGTTCAGAAAATGCTATGTCAACAGTGAGCAAACATTTAAAACAGTTGATCATACTTAATACCTAATAATATTTTGGGTTAATACTACGAAAAACCCAAAACTGATACACTTATGATAAATTTACCCCAAACTAATTTTTTGACCACCAAAACCTCCAAACTGGTATACTTATGATAAATTTATCAAAAATTAATCTTTTGATCATCAAAACCCTAAACTGATATATTTGTGACAAATTTACCCTTCGTTAATTTCCGTTAAATTGGATTAATACCAGGAAAAATCATAAACTAGTATACCTGTGATAAATAGAGGGTAAAACCCCAAACTGATACACCCGTCAACTGTCACGTGTCATTTAACTCAATAATTTGACGGTAAAATTTAATGGAAACTAACGGAGGGTAAATTTGTCATAGACGTACCAGTTTGGGGTTTTTTCGTGGTATTAACCTTAATTAAATATCAATTTTTAAATTATTTTTCTAAATTAAATTTGTATACTTGCTATCATACTGGCTTTGTTAAGCAGAGAAACCAGTAAAACAGATGAATATGATGTCATTGACAAAGATGGAGAAAATAAAAAAGAAATGAATGAAGCAACGACCAGAAAATGTGAAGAAAGGCCCATTAAAGTAAGCCAATGAATAGAGAAAGCATAGGTAGGACCAGTGATGACCCTCCCTCTCAACTTCAACAGCAAGTTGTCGGACTTGAGAAACAAGTCCGACGAATAAACAACTTCCCACGTAAGGTAAAGAAGAGTGCATCAGACGAAGCCCAGGCAGGACTCCACAACTCAAAGCAAGCGCAGTATAAATTCATCTCCTCACACGGGTTGAACATCAAAGTTATCCCCAACCAAGTCCAAGACATTCATGTCTTTGTGCTGCAGAGACCGTGAGATGGAAGACATTGCAGTTCAAGCCCGTCACCGGAGGAATCGTGAATCATTCATTGAAGCTGAAAGGGCGAGCTATGTGGCAGTACCCCAATCATTCCTGGTTCTTGACCGGAACGCACAGCCATGGGTGATGCACGAATATCACCTAAATGGCGATCCACTTTAGTACACTTCAAGAGGCCAGGTACAAATACTTGTCTCATTCGCTTGATATGTGCTCTGCTTGGTTTTGCAGACTCAAGCATGACTATCAAGTTCGTTCGCCGAATTATTTATGCGCACCAGTTGGCATCTATTGATGGAGATTCTGTCATGTGCATCTCAGTTCTATGAAGATATGTTGCTGCTTTTAACTACTTTTATCATATTATCCAACTCATGTCCCCGTCTTTTTTCTAGTAGGATCCTGCTGCCTCGTCCGACCAATCCAAGCGACCGAAGACACTTGTGAATCCGTATTCAAGTTAGGTTTCTACATGCTAAATGTGGATTCACGATAAGCTTTGTGTATTAGAAATAAAATCTCCTTCTTACTGAGAAGTCTTCTCATTTTAATTTGCTGCATTGATCATTTTGGAGCTTGCGATCCATCTGAATTCCATGTATGATGGCCTGATTTATGACTTCTATTGGAAGGTTGGCTCGTCCGAAACATAAATAACAAGCTAAAAGTGTAAGCGGACTCTACTTCATGAAAGTGGTGACTGAAAAAGAGTACACGAACTCCACCCTCCATCGAAAAAAAAAGCAGATAATCGCCATAATCAGTGAGTATATAGACTTAAGGAAGCGGCAATAACACCATCTTTTAACCCCATGCCGTGGTTTAACGGTTAAGGAACATACTTAATTGGGGTATAGTTCACATGACATGGGTTTGATTCTCCACAACCACCAATTGCGTACAATCTCATATTTGTATCGCCCATGAGGGCTTATGCTCACATCTCACTTGGTCTATGAGGTCAGTGGGATGTTTTCGGAGTCCCACGGTTTATGCATGTAAGGCGGAGTTGCAAGTAATCTTTGAAACCTCCTGCAGTTTAGCGCTTTTCTGTAATCTGAGCTTTCATCCATCAGCATATTCCAACAGTGAAACTGTAATGACATGCACAATTAAAGAATAAAACATTCAATTTTCCGTTGCTGTCACAGGTAAATAAGTTATGGGTGTGATTGGCTAATCTGGCCGAGGATTAGGCCAAAAGTGCCAGTTAGCAATCCCCTATGACCCGTTGCATGAAAATACCAATCATAGTTTTGTGACGCTTTGGATTAACTCAGCGAGCTACCGTCCGCTTTGGCCCGACCCATGCCGAGTCCCATGGTTTTGTCCTTTGCTGTACATGTGGGCATCTTCCTAGGAGGTCACCCATCCTGAGAGTGATTTTACATGAGGATGCTTAATTTTGGAGTTCCAAAATTAAACATTGCCGTTACGTCAAAAAACGTCTCCTAAATTAATTTTAGTTTTCACATATATATCTCAAAATCGCTCTTTACATGTTCGGAGCACAGTTTGGTTCATTCCTACCTCCTTCGCCATCCTAGAAGCTTGTCAGGAACCGCTCTTTATCCAAGCCTTTTGGCCCGGGAGACCACTCATCGTCCTCGTCGGATTCGGTCGTTACAAGTTTACTCTTACCTAAACTGGAGATGAAGCTACTTACATGCAGCTAAGTTAGTAACCAGGAAAGTTCTTTTTTCTTTTTTTTAAATAAACAAAGCAATGACAAAAATCCCAATTGTACGCAATTTATTGGTGCATTAGCACATAAAGAGACCGTGTAGGGTGAAACTTTGTTATATAATGAAAATGTATAAGTGCATGGACAGCCCTTATGTTAACTGACTATTAGCAGGTTGATTTTAACTCAAATGCACACAATGTCATTAACAAAATGAAAAGGAAAGTCTTCTATTGTAATTGAAGGAAACAACCAGGACACATCATAGGAGCAAATCCCAGAAATTTCCTGGATATTGTCATTATAATATGAGAAAGCAAAGCAAATTTTTATAGTGAACAACCGTACCTTACAGAATGAGCAGAATCTGAGATTAGTCTGATTTATGCGATAGGATCCACCAGGACAAGGAAAAGCAGACAAAAAACCATCCCTATCAGCTATCAATCACGATCAAGAGTTTTCCGATGTCCACTTACCAGAAGTTTGGTAACTTCTAAAGGAAGGGAAGACTTCAATAAAGACCCTCCCAAATGGTAGTGTGTTGATGCTCACTTCTCTGCTTCCACAATCTGAAGTGAGTTCATTAGTTTTGCTTGCGTGTTGGGTGAAGAACAGAAAGAGAGGAGATGGGAGCTGTGGTCATCCCGAACAATTTGCCGGTCGGATACAGATTCCATCCAACTGACGAGGAATGCGTCGATTATTACTTGAAGAACCGAGTCCGAGGATTCGTAGACCGTCCCTGCATAATTCCCGATGTCGACATCTGTGGGTGGGATCCTTGGCAATTACCACAGAAGTTTCATGGTAAGAACAGATACTACTATCACTTTGCTTGCTCCTTTGATACAATCTCTCTGCAACCATGATTTACAAAACTTAATACCTGAAGTATGTGGGTTTTTGGAGCATATTATTTATCATCAATTGGTGAAAAGTTGAGGGAATGTGCTGATGAGATGTGAATTTGATAGTTTCTGGCGGTGAAATGTTATAAGGTGCAAACTATTGTGGAATGCAAAATATTCCTTCGATTTGGTAAAAAAAGAAATATTAGTTCTTGATAACAAGAAATCAATGAGATTGACAGGCGAATCAATCATTCACCTGGATGACAAAGTTCAAGAATGGTGGTTCTTCTGTCTGCAAACGCCCCAACAGGTTAAAAGATCGACTCCGTCCGGCTATTGGAAGAAGACTGGTAAAGATCGGAATGTCAAGGCCAGAGATACCAACAGAGTAATTGGCACTAAGAAAACAATAGTCTTCCACATAGGTCGGGGCTCTGAGGGCGTCAGGACCAACTGGGTCATCCAGGAATATCATCTACTCATCAAAGATGTACTCAATCTATCCCTCATTTATTCATTGCAACAGATTAGATTCACTAGATGCATGAACTTGATAACATATCGTATGAGAAGTATAGCTACAGTAATCTGCAGAAACACTCAATTAAAAGTTTCCACGAGTCCTAAGGAAGCAAAGATGCTTTATTTTGCTCAGTTTCTACTATAGAAGATTGAAATCTTATACATATGTAGAGAAGTGAGCCTAATTTTACTGTTGATGATCTAATGGTATGAACTGGTGTGACATGGACTTTTGACAGTTGAATCGGAATTGTGTTCTGTGTCGCTTAAAGCTTAAACGAGATAAGAAGGCCGATAATTCAACCATAGAATTAGAAGAAGGAGCCAATAACCCGGTGGATTTGGATTCGGATCTTCATCAACCTGACCATGAGGGCTCATTTCCTATGGTGTGGAGGAAAAAATGTTCAGTTTATACACTTAATATCTGTCTTAATGAGCATGCAAAATGTGTTAATGTTCAATTTTTTACTTGTAAATACAGATTTGGATCGAAGAAATGTTAAATTCAAGGACACTGTCCTCATTTCAGCCGGAAAACCGAGTTCAAGTTGCCTTGCCTAACCTCCTGCAGCTGCCTCAGCCTGCGCTGCGATCACAAAATAATATCTCCCCCTTCAACATACATCAATTTATGAATATTGAGAGTCCGTCTTTTATGGACGTCTCATTGGACAACGATCTTACTGAGGAATCTATTCAGTGGGAATCTTTGTTCCGAACCAGTGAAGATGATGCAGATGTTGGTGACGTTCAAATTTCAGATTATTTTGATGCCGACTTCTTTGAGGGAGACCAAATGCAAACACAGGTCAAAATTCTTCCCTTGAAATTTCGTTTGGTTGCTGTGATTATTTTTCCAGTAAATTTAGCTTTAAGATGGTTTCTACTGAATTGCAAGGGCACTTCCCTTTTCCAGGTTATCTGAAATTTAAGGATAATTTTCTTTCAATCATCTTTGTGTAAATAGAAAGTTTAACAAAGAACGATGGACAATTTAAAATCTAATCTTGAAGGTTTGTATGAAATTAAGTTGATGCCTCAGCTATTTCCTCTGATGCATTTTATATTATGCAATCTGTCAGCTACAGTGTGGCCAATCATCTAACTCGCAGAAGGAGCATCCTGCTCTAATGAAGAATCGGCGAACACGAACAATTGACTCATTCCACGGTTTTGTTCCTCTTGAGGAAAAGAAAGGCATGGTGGAGAATAAGTTCAACGGCTCGCGTGTTGCCTCCGAGAAACCTATGCCGTGCCCTGTACTTATCGCGCCTTGCAGGTCTATGGCGCCTCCCATACACGCTGCAAGTGTAAAATATTATAGCAAAGATGAAGAGCAGAGGTTTGAAAAGGTTAAGCAGGAAACTGCAGCCAAAAATAACAAACCAGAATGCACGTCTTTGGATGAAACAGCAGCCAGAGCAAAGGTGAAAGCAGCTCCTAAACTAACCCAGTGTGTGTTGTTACTATTCTTATATGTTGACGTGCATTGCTTGGGTAGTTTATCAGATGGTGGGAATCCGTTTTGACTGCAGGGAAACCATTTATGGGATATGTGGTTCATAGGCACTTAAAAAAAAGGTTAATTTTGTCAAATCTGCTTCGAGAAACATATAATCTAGCATTCTTCTACCAAAAGGAAGTGTTACTTCACTCTAAATTGGTCATGCTTTGCTTTATTATGCTTTGATTTGAATGATAAGAAAAATGGTGAAGAACTACAAGCAAAATATATCAATAAAATTTCAGCTAAGATATTGAATAAGGTTATAGTAGATGACTAAATAGAACTTACGAATCTGCTAGACAATTTGAGAACAAACACATGAATGTTTGTCATGCCATTCCCGTTGATCCATTTGATCTTATGCGATGCTTTGTTGCAGTATCCAAAAATGCCCGAGTCTCCAAGAATTTATAGCAATGAAGAAACGAGGTTCGAAAAGGTAAAGAAGCAGGAAATTGCATCTCGAAATGTTAAACCCGAATGTGTATCTTTGGATGATTCTGCAGCAAAAGCAAAGGTGAAAGAAGCTCCCAGTTTAACCTCGTCTTGCTATTATCTTCCAATCTTGATGTGCACTGCTGGACAATTTAGTTCGATTGGCGTGGTTCCATATTTTCGAAAAATCAATACAAAAAACTGGGAAAATCCCTCGTGTTTTTCGTCTCCTGTTATTCCTTACTTTATTTTTCCTATCAGCTCACTATTTGAAACACTTCATGTTGGCAGGTACTAGAATACAAAGTGCATGGTTCAGGCAGTAAATCACCTAAGAAGACAAACGGCAAGGAGATTGAACATGCCAGAGAGAAATCAAATTCAGTGACTGCATTGACCAGACCAACCACCAACAGCACAAAAAGTTCCACAGATTTTCCACTGCATAATCTTGTGAACGTGATCGTCGGAATTTTCCTGTTGTTCACCATAACTTGCCAAGCATTTAATTTCTGATTTTCACTGCTATTTAGTCCTGTGTGTGATGCAGCATCATTGACAAGTACAATTGTAAAAGAAGGGTTTTTTATGTCGTGTCACAATTTACGTGTATGTAGCTTGTCTTCCTTTTGATGCTAATGCTTTGTACTTCTATTTGCTTTAACGGAAATAGAAGATCCAACTAGATGTGCGACTACTCTGAGATTTTCTTTCTTCGATGTCTGCTGTATAATGCGAAGAATCAACAAGTTGCCGCAGTGATATCTCCTTTAAAGTTAACTTGCAATCCATCTTTCCATGTCTTCCTTTAGTTTATCAAACTCATTGAAGGATCTATCTCACAGGATTGGTTGTTTTTGTAGGCACGGTCCACGGACACAACATACAAACTAAACAGTCTACATAGGACAAAGCCTACTTTATAAGACGTTCAGATCTTTATCTGTATGTTCAGGACAAGTAGAAGCTTTTATCCTTTGCAAAATGAAATAATAGCAGCCGGTGGTAGCTCCGAGTCTTTCTAGAATCACACACATATTGTCAGAACACATGAAAAAACAAAAGAGCACCGAGAATACATTTGTGCTGACACTGACTGTTAAGAGTGAGGACTGGAGAGAGCTTATATTTAGAGACATCAGTACATCTGTGACGCATATCAATCCACCCAACAAAATCCGAAACATAATTCATGATATTGTTAATGAAGATGAAAACAAACCAGCCTTCACAATTTTCTGCTTTCGCAGAGAGAGAGATGGAATAGAAGACTGGAAAATATTAACCTTAAAACAAAAACTGTCTAGAACAAGCTTAATAGGAACCTGTTTTTTTTAACTGCACACAAACGTGCAAAAACTGACTTAAAAAACTGACTTGTTCCACTTCCTAGAAAATAGCTAACAAAGTAACTGTCTAACAAATCAAGATGACAGCAAAACAGAAAAGACTAAAAAACGACAAGAAAAAAACAACAGCAGCACTGGGACACAGCTCCAACAAACTCCTCCTTGGATCAGTTGCTGCTGCAAACTCCAATTTTCTCCCTTAACAGCTCAAATCTTTCAACTTGAAGTGGCTTTGTGAACATGTCTGCAAACTGATCTTCTGATCTACAATAAGCCAACTTAACTTCACCACTTTGTTGCACTTCACGCAGAAAGAAGAATTTGATCTTAAAATGCTTGGTTTTGCCATGGAAAACTGGATCTGTGATATTGCTAAAGCAACCTGATTGTCCACATAAACTTCAATGCAATCACAAGAACTCAACCACAGATCCTTCATTATCTTCTTCAGCCACAAAGCTTGATTTGCAGCTGCAGTAGCTGCTATAAACTCAGCCTCTGCAGTGGACTGAGCTACAATCTCCTGCTTTTTGGAACATCAGGAGAAACAAGCAAAACCAAGAGTGAAGTAGTACCCAGATGTACTCTTCATGTCATCTACTGAGCCAGCCCAGTCACTATCAGAAAAACCCTGCAACTTAAACTTCTGGCCTTTCCTAAACTTCACACCAAAGAACAATGTTCCTTTGATGTATCTCAAGACCCTTTTTGCAGCAACCAAATGTAACTGACTAGGACTACTCATGAACCTGGATAAAACACTCACAACAAATAAAATATCAGGTCTAGTTGCTGTGAGATACATGAGACATCCAATTAAGCTTCTATACATTGAAGCATCTACCGCTTCTGTTCCATCATTCTTTTGTAGCTTCTCCTTAGCAGTCATAGGAGTGCTGACACTTCTACAATCTTCCATCTGAAACTTCTTCAAAATTTCCTTCATGTATTTCTTTTGGCAGATGAAAATCTCATGTGAAGTTTGTTTGATTTCCAGACCTAGGAAATAAGCCATCTTTCCCAAGTCTGACATCTCAAAAGCTGCAAATAGACCTTGCTTCACCCTCTCTATCAGTTCCACATCATTCCCTGTCACCAACAAATCATCTACATAACGTGACAGAATTACAACACTATGATTCACCTTCTTGACATAAAGAGTGAACTCACTCAAGCTTCTTACAAAGCCAAAATCCTGCAAATATCTGTCTATCTTTCCATACCAAGCTCTTGGAGCCTGCTTCAGTCCATATAGAGCTTTCCTCAATCTGTATACCTTCTCTTCTTGCCCTTTGACACTGAAGCCTTCAGATTGTTCAACAAAAATCTCCTCTTCGAGCTCTCCATTCAGAAATGCAGACTTGACATCTAGCTGAAATATATGCCACCCCTTCTCTGCTGCAACAGCTAATAATAGCCTGATTGTATCAAGTCTTGCAACAGGCGCAAAAGTTTCAGAATAATCTACTCCCCATATCTGAGCATAGCCTTTCACAACTAGTCTAGCTTTGTGTTTATTGACAGAACCATCAGGATTAAGTTTTGTTCTGAACACCCACTTAACCCCAATCACATTCTTGTCAGATGGTTTGTCAACAAGCTCCCATGTGTGGTTTTTCTGAATCATTGTCAACTCCTCCTGCATTGCTGCAATCCACTTCTGATCCTCCTTAGCTTCCACAAAATTAGCTGGTTCAAGCACTGCCACATTGCTTCTTTCATAAACTTCAGCAAGTGACCTTGTGCCTCTTACTGGCATATCATCCATAGTATCTTCCAATCCATTCACAACTTCATCAACCTGTACAGTTGTTGCAGGTTGTTGTTCTGCAGATTTCTTCTGTTCTGCATTCTTTTCTTCCATCCAATTCCACTCATCTTCCTCTAGAAAAACAACATCTCTACTCACAGTCACCTTCCCTGTCATAGGCTGAAAAATCCTATAAGCCTTTGAATGTAGACTGTATCCAATGAAGACTCCAGGCTCAGCTCTTTGATCCAGCTTGTCCCTCTTGACCTGAGGAACATGTGTATAACACAAACACCCAAAAACTTTTAAATTCTTTACATAAGGTTTAACACCATACTAGGCTTCAAAAGGTGTTGACCTCTCTAAGGCCTTTGTGGGCAATCTATTCAACAAGAACACTGCAGAACTAGCTGCCTCAGCCCAGAACTTCTTAGGTAACATCTTCTCCTGCATCATTCATCTGGCCATTTCCATAATGCTTCGTTTTCCTCTCACCGACCCCATTCTCGTTGAGGTGAATAGGGGGCGATGAACCGCTGCATAATGCCCGCTTCCTCACAATTTAACTTAAACTTGTGAGCAGTATACTCAGAACCATTATCAGACCTGAGCATTTTGATTTTCTTCCCACTCTGATTCTCAACTAAGGCTTTGAACTTCATAAACACATCAGCAACTTCAGACTTGGTTTGCAGAAAGTAAATCCAGCTCATCCTAGTCATGTCATTAGTGAAAGTAATGAAATACCTGCTACCATTGAGAGATGACTCTGACATAGGTCTACATAAGTCTGTGTGGACTAATTGCAGCTTCTCACATGCTCTCCAGCCTCCTTCTTTGAAAGGAAATCTGGCTTGCTTGCTAAGAAGACAAGTTCTGCACTGTGGAAATTCCTCCTCCAAACTTGGCAAATCATCTGCCAAGCTATTCCTCTGCATAAACAACATGTTCTTCCAGTGAACATGTCCAAGCCTTTTATGCCATAGCTCTGTATTTTCTTCTTTGCACTTCAAAGCCATTTGTTGCATTTCATGTGGCTTGAATAAGAAGCACTTGTCTTTCATTGGCATTCTCAACACTTCCTTGCTATTTGCATTATCAATAAGGCATTCCTTTCCTTCAAACTTCACCTTATAGCCCCTCTCAACTAATTGACCAACACTCAACAGATTCTGGTCAATTTTTGGCACAAAGAGAACATCACTAATCAGCTTCACCTCCTGATTTCCTTCAATAGCCACTGTACCCTTTCCTTGCACTTCGATATACTGTCCATTGCCAATTCTGACTTTGGACCTGACTGACCTGTCTAGACTCCTAAACAGCTTCAAATTGCCAGTCATATGATTGGTACAACCACTATCCACCAGCCATGCATCATTCTCAACATGAGAACCAAAATAGGAAGCCACAAACAAGCATTCTTCCTCAGGTTCATTCACTGCTATATGTGCTTCTCCTGCTTGCTGGTGATTGTTCTCTTTGCAGATTGCTTCCATGTGACCCATCTTGTGACATCTTCTGCACTTAGCATCAGGCCTCCTCCAGCATCTAAAGGACTGATGAGTAGTTCCACCACAGTGTTGACAAGGCTTCTTGTTCTTCTTCCATTTGCCAGACCCACTAGAACTTCCTTCTTTCGCTGCAAACTTGGAATCACTTGCATTTCCTTTTGACTGATTCCATTTCTTCCCTTTGCCTCCATCATTGAACTTCAATTTAGCTTGCAGTGCACCCTCTACAGGCTCTTCTCTTCTCATCAGTCTTCTTTGCTCCTGTGCCTGCAGGGCACTTAACAATTCTACAAGCTTTATGTCAGCTAAATCTCTTGTATTTTCCAGAGAAACTATGGTGGCTTCAAACTTCTCTGGAAGAGATACCAGGATCTTCTGAACTAGCCTTTCATCCTTCAAGTCAGTCCCTAAAACTCTGATCTTTTCAGCTATCCCAATCAGCCTATCAGAGTATTCCTTCACTGACTCTGAATCCTTCATCTGCTGTCTCTCAAACTCCCTTAAGAGATTCAGCACCTTCATGCTTCTTATCTTCTCATCTCCCTCGTATTCATCCTTCAAGCAATCCCATATTGCCTTTGCAGAATCACATCTCATGATCCTTGTGAAAATAAGGGGTGAGACAGCAGTATACAGGCAAGACTTTGCCTTGGCCTTTCTTGTGGTTCTCTCTTTATGGAACTTTATCTGATTCAAGGTCGGATTGTTTGGAAGTGGAGCAATTTCATAATCATTCTCCACAGCCTCCCACAAATCATGATCCTCCAAGAATTGTAACATCCTGAATTTAGACCTATTTCCGAAATCAATGAAATAGATGTTATTTCTCATTTCATTTTAGTAAGTCTCGCCCGGAACTGATCATTCTCGGGATACTAACCTTTAGGGAATGGCTACCTAGGGAAATGTACGTGGACCTAAGAACTCGATTATGAGTCGACCTTCGGTGACGATCGAGGTCACCATGACTTGAATAACCCTAGGTCGATACGTGTAATCCCTAAACAGTCACCCGTTAGTGAGAGACCCTAAAATTGAGATTGGGCGACTTTGATCGTGAAATTGGATCCGG